AACTCAACCAGTCTGTGGTATTGTGTTATTAGCAACAGAAAAGAGAATAATTCATCTCCTGTCGTGAACAGAGCAGTCCTACCTGCTCTGAAGAGTGTAAGTGTTAGAGATAATAAAATAAGAGTTCAGTACAGACTTTGAGTCAGAAATTACTCAAATGGCATCTCTTATTACCATAATAATAATAATAATAATAATAATAATAATAATTTTAATATCGTCCTTCCTCTGTATCAAAATCCATTCTTTCTTACTTGTTTTTCCCCCCATATTCCAATAACTAAGAAATTACGTATTCAGATCCCCATAGAGTTTTCTTCTCCTGTTAGTGCTATGGGTCATTCTAGTTTAATCAGTCCTTTTAAAAATCACCAGCCATTCTTCTGGCTGACATTTTAATCAGGTTTTTCCAAGAATCCCAAAGGAGGGGGGAAATGGAACTGCAACGAAAAAAATCCACTTTTCTCTACATGCCAGTAAATTATAACTTCACAGCTGCCTTAGAAAAAGAACAAAAGACGCATAGTGGAACATTTTTCTGGCCCAGAAAATTGACAGAGCAGTAGAAGCAAATTCTTTGCAGTGTTGCCGGGGGAGTGGGGCGGGCAGGGAGGGCGCAGAGCGGCTCTGGGGATGGACCCAGAGAGGCTCTGCAGATTCTGTCCCTGGGGTTACTGTCACCACATAACCAGGAGTCACAGGACCCCTGCCTCTGATCATATCCCCTCACAAAGACAGAACAGGAGAACACCTTTAGCACCCCCCAAATGGAAGCTAATATTGAAATAATACATTTAGGGCTCCAGGGCTCTGTGATCTGATGGCATGTAATATTCTGCACAAAATTGCTCCTTCTAAATTCTTTCTGGTCCTGTGGTCAGGGCTCTCTCTTCCCCGTTTATCTATTCCATGTCCTCAGGGAAGTTACTCAGCCTCTCTGGGTCCATCCCCAGCCACATCATCTATCTGAGAAGAGCACTTTTAGCTCAGGCTTCATGGAATGAAGAACGGCTTTGGATGTACAAAGCTCCAGCCACCACCTGGAGCACAGAATCTGTTTTTAAATGATTAGGGGCGAGAAGCAGGAGGAGAGTGGGAGGAGACAGCAGGAATGAAGCAAGACTGACTGACATCCTCATGGTGTCTGTCCACTCTGGTCCTCCTCGTCCACTCCACGATAGGTCCGCTGCACCCATAGACTGAAGATGGGCATTTTATCCCACAAGGAGCAAGCACTACACACACCTATCTGTTAGGGCCTCTGCATAGAGCACCACACCTGGGTGTGGCGGCAGCAGCAATGTATAATCTCATAGTTCTGGGAGTTAGAAATCAAAGCTCAAGGCATCCAAAGGCTGCTTCCTGCTGAAAGCTGGGAGAGAATCTGTTATTAGGCACCTTCAGGGTGATGTGTCCTGTGGATGCCTGCCCTGATCCCTGCCTCGCTGTCTCATGGTGATCTTCCTGTGTGCATGTATCTAGGTCTAAATTTCCCTTTCATAAGGACAAGACTCAGATTGGATTCAGATCAACCTAAATGGCTTCCTTTTAACTAAGTATGTCTACAACAACCCCATTTCCAGAGAAAATCAAATTCAGAGGTATTTGAGGTTAGGGCTTCAGCCTGAGAGGTGGGACACAAGGGGTCACTCTTCAATCCATAACACGTCTTCTGTCCTTGTGACCCTGGGCAAGTTGCCTGCTCTCTCAGGCTTATCAGGGCTGGAGGAGGGACAATGGCCGAGCTGCATGGACACTCTGCACATGCCTTTGGCTTCATGTCTGTGGTCCTAGAGGTCCAAACCTCAACAGCCTGAGGGATGTGTGCAGCCAGGTCACTGTGCCTGCCCCATGCAGGTGAGAGTTCCAGTGTGGTTACGGAGAGAAGGCTTCTCCAGCAGTGCCACGAGCAGAGGGCAATAACTCTCAGGTGCACACCCCGCTCTAGCTGCTGGATCCTCCATCCTCCCTGGCCCTTCTGCCCACCCTTATCTCACTTCTCTACTCCCCTTGGGGGCTTCATCTCCTCCTACTCCCTACACCACAGCTATTAATTAAGTCCCATGTACAGTGTGAGTTTCTGGGGACCCAACCTAACACTGACATTTGCTGCCATGAGGACCAAATGATTCGTGTTTAGAGAGCTTAGAGCATCATTCATGCTGTGTAAGCATGGGCTATTGTTACCCTTGTCATCCGTAACATTGAGTTTAGTCAGCAGAACTGGTGCACGGAATCCCAGCATGTCCTAGGAGGGGCCGATGGGCTCCCAAGCAGGTGAGTGAAGAGGCAGCCAGTACTTGTGCAGGCTGTATCTGGGGGTGACTGTCCTCTTACTGTGGGGACAGAGCTACCAGCAAACTCTCAGGGTCTCAAATCCCTCAAGCTTTCAATTGCCTCAAATCAGCCTTGCTAGCCAGCTGCCTGCCTGATCTCGGACAGGCAGCAAAGGGTGGTATGGAAGATCACAGGCCCAAAACCCAAGCCTGGATGCCCGTTGTGGTCTGGCCTTTCCTGGAAGGAGGGCACCTTGCTTGATCTGTCAAGTCTCGGTTTCCCCCTCCGGAAAATGGGCATAAAAATCATTGCTCTCTGAGAATTGACTAAGATAAAGCATGTGCAGGCAATACAAAGAACTAAATAAAAGGCATCTATGAGTTTCTTCTTTAGTTCCTACTCTCCATACGATGGAGGTGGGTATGATCATCCCTTTCTCTTCCCAAAGCTTCTCTGTTGGCTCTCATTTCCTACTATACACCTAGCATGCTGTAAGCACTCCATAAATGCTCCAGATAGTCAATGCATAAGTAAGTAGCGTGGAGAAGATTTAAACTATTAGTATTAGCTTGGTAGACTTCTTCGCTGTTTGGAAAACGGTTTGTGAAGGTAGAGGAATTACACCTGTCAGAGTTTATGCATTCTCACCATCACCACAGAAAGCAGCACATACAAGCAAGGGTTTCAGATGGCAGCACTCGTTAATTAATGCTAACTCTCCTTGCCTGAGCAGAGACCTTGCACTAATTCCATCCTGGAATTATTTAAAAGCAGGTAGCGCCACAAAGCCAACACCAGGCATCTTCTGGGAGCCTTAAGAACTTTACACCAGAGCGTTAGCGTCAGAAGAGCACTCCAGAGACCATTCCCAGCCCCGGTAACATGGGGAAAAGCCTCCTTCAGCAAATAGCACGCCATTAAGTTGGTGTGTATAGATGGTACGCAGGGAGCCAGTGATTGAGTCAATAAAAATCAGCGTGGATAAACAGCCAGAATGGGGCCAGGAACATGCGACACAGGCCACTCCCGAGGAAAATCAGAGTGAAACCAGTCAGAATGCGGAGTGTACTTTACACTAAGTTGAAGTCAATACATATTGAGTTAATGGTAACAGTATTAGTAAAATGAGGTGATGGAGTGAGAGTCATCTAATAAAAATGCTACCTGCCAGGCATGGTGGCACAGGTCCGCAATCCTAGCATTCTAGGAGGCTGAGGCAGGAGGACGACAAGTTCAACCAAGCCAGGGTAACCCAGCAACTCAGCAAGACCCTGTCTCAAAATAAAAACAGTCCTGGGGATGTAGCTTGGGGTTCAACCCCTAGTTTCTCAAGAAGAAAAGCACCATAGAGTGTGTTGTGTTTACTCAGCCCCATGTCCTAAGCGCCTCGCCTGGGTTAGTCCGCATTGGGTCCTCACTACAGCCCTGCACAGCAGGGGGCACCGTCATCCCCACTTTACATTTTAAGGAAACAGAGGCACAGAGAGAAAGGAAGGTTTTATTCGCTCAATCCTCACCACTATGCTTAGAAGAAATTAGCAGTTCTTGTTCACATGCTATAAATAAGAAAACCAAAAAACGGAGATTCAGGGTGTGGTCCAGGGCTCTCATCTAGTGAGTCCTGACCAGCGCTCTGAGCCAGCCAGCCAGAGGCAGTACTGACGTGCTGGCTGCCACCTGTCTCCTCAGTCCACCGCACAGAACAGCTTGCATGAGACCTGGCTGGTGTGTTAACAATAAGCAGAGCTCCGAGTGGGCCGGGAAGCGTCTGCAGAAGCTCAGTAATCACCACCCTTGCCACCGCCTGAGGCAGGCAGTGTCATTGCATTTTACAGAACGTGCAAACAGTAGAGAAAAAGAGCCCGGCCAGTGGCACAAAAAATACCACAGGCAGAGCAAGCAGATGTGGGCCAAGCCTCTGTGAGGCCTTGGGGTCGTCGTTATTGTTGTTTGGGGTTTGTTGGTTTCTTTGTTTTAGGGTACTGGGCATTGAACCTAGGGCCTTCACACTGAACTTCAGCCCCAGCCTTTTGTTTTGTTTTGTTTTGATTTCTGATACAGGGTTTTTCTAAATTGCTAAATTACCCAGCCGCAAGGCCGGGAGCTTCCTTGCAGCTGCCTCTGACCTCAGAGCTCTCTCTTCTGGTCACTGTGTCTCACTGCCAGTCATTTCTGTCACAATCATCAGTCTAAATGGAGGCAAAAATCCTCTTGCTGCCAAGCAATAGGAAACATACAAATGAGGGCTTAATCCTGTACTTCTGTCCAAAACAAGAGCCAAGCAAGGATGTGTGGCATTGGCCTCTGTCATCTCTGCCCCAGACATCACCACCACCACCCTCTGCCATCTGTGGGCACAGGGCTGTCAGGATTGCAGACCCATGAGGACGAGGAGAGGAACTGCAGACCTGGGCCGGCATCTTGGCTTTTGAGAACAGCTCTTACCACGTGTTTCTATTCCCTGCAGTTCCTTTCCTGCAAACAGTACTGTGAGAAGAGACCCGGGGAGATGCCTCCGGACAACACTGGCCTTGGAAAAGGCCTTTTGAAGCTCTGCACAATGTGTGGATGTGGTCACCACTGCTCATATGCTGATGGGAGACCTCTGAGCTGAGTACTGCCCGCCCTACTGACGCTGCTAAAACACATCTGTCTACAGTGCACAGATCAAAATGGTTGGGAAAAGTGACTTTTCTTTTTTTTTTTTTATTAATGTTCTGAATTCCAGAAAGGCCAGCATGCTCCAGCAGCGGGTTTTATCCACAAAGCAAGGCATTTGACCAGTTTGGGAGAAAGACACATTTTTTAGACCATCCTGTGCAGCGACTCTTTCCACAGACTTGGTGAGATGGAAGCATGCTGTGTGATGCGTCTGGGGTGTGCAAGCGAAAAGAGGGGCGCCAGGTCTAGACCGGAGTGCATTGATTAGACTCTGTCTCTTCCATTCCACCTGCAGTTACCCGGTCTCCGTGCACATCTGCCGCACTGGGGACTTGATGGCATGTCTCACCTGCTCACATCATTTTTGATTCTGCAGAACTCAGCACCTACCTAAGAAAACAATTCAGAAAACAGTTGATGATTTGGGCCAAGGACCCAGGAAGTGGCATGTCCAGCTAACATTAAAACAAAGTGGGGCTTGTTTTCATCATCACTAAATACTGCCTTCACTGAGCCACACGTTTTGATATAGACTGTCTCCTTTGTACACACAGCCGACCCCATTACACAAAGTAACGCACCTCTCATTCTAAGGACAGGAACATGAAGCCTGAAAAGAGTTAAGTAATGTGCCCAAGACCACAGAGTTCATCTGATCTCAACTGAGGTTTGAAATGTCTTGTTTCAGCTTCCGTGAGATTAAACACACATCCTTCCACACTCTTAGGGGGCAAGTTCCATGTTGTCACTGCAGAATTTCTTCCCTCCTTGTCTCAGTCCTCCCTTGCTGATGGTATCCGTTTTGGTTAGCGTCACCTAGATGAATTTGTTAGAAAGTACAGCCTGTGGTATCTGGAATCCTGCCAATGAGCCTGGACCCTGGTCTTCATCCCAGACCAGACAGGGTGGGCCCAAATTGGACAGGTGAGCAAGGTGTCTCTGGCTGGGTGTGTGCTCTAAATCCAACCTCAACAATGCACTGGCCCATGCCCGGCTGACCTTGGACCACCTTCCAACCTTCAGAGACTTATGCTTAAAAACATGAAGTTAATCATACGTTCCCCGAATTTCTCCAGGTTCATTTCTATGAAGCTCAATAAACACACACACTGGTGAGAGAGCTTTGATTTTTACGAAACACGTTGGTCAGTGTGAGAAGGTGCTGGGCAGGATTCCTTGATTCTTCGGGCAGCAGGCCTAGCTTGCTTTTATTTACTTTTAATCCAGTAAAGAGTGAGAAAGAAAAGTCTCCTTCCTCTCAGAGAGACACACACCAAAAGAAGAAAAAGACAGAGAGAATGAGAGACAGAAGCAAACAAAAGACAGCATAGAGGGAATACAAGCAGCCAGGGAGAAGGGGAAACAGACTGAGAGGAAGAGATGGGGAGCAAGATGGACAGAGAACAGAGCGGAGTAGGAGAAGAACCCAAAGTCAAGCTGTTATGGATTACGAACTGGTGGTCAACTTAATGCCAGCTGGATTACATCAGCACAGCATTGAGCAAAGATGCTCCACCTGAGGAAAGTTGCCAGGATAAATAGGCGTTGAGGCATTGTAGCATTGTGGGTTCTCCTACGAGTTGCTGTCTGAGCTGTTGATTCTCCTCAAGAAGTTTTGGTCCTCACATCGAGCACTGCTTCCTGGCTCCGGAGGAGAAGTCATGTGCTGCTGGATCTCCAAGATGAACTCGTCACGCTGTTTCCTGGCACGTACCCGACTGTGCTTATCGTCGGAGGAGCTTGGGGCCTCAGTATCACTGAGAATGGCTGTGGTGCCTTTCAGGATAGCCTGGTCTTTGTTGTGAGTGTGACTTCTTGGCTCCAGTGTAGAACCCTCATCCCACTAGCACAGCTCCTTCATCCTGCTGGCATAGACTTTCTGGCTTCCACCGCTGACCCTTGGGTCTTCCCGGCACGGATCCATGAAGGAGACTGGAGTGAGTCCTTCTTGTGGGCTCTGGATCTCCAGTTGGACTCGTGGGAGGCATTGTCCTGAGCTCTGGGTTTTTATCTGGACTCATGTGGGACATTGCTGTGGGGTTTCGGCTCTTAACTAAATAATCTATGTCTTTGGTGTTGCGGATAGATTTCCTGCATTTTCCTGTGTTAACTCCCGGTGACCATTATAAAAAATATAAACTCCATGTCTTGATCCTAATTGTTCTCTGTGTACAACCCCTGACTACAGCCCAAGCCTAAATCCACCCCTATTTCTGTCAGAAGCAACAAGCAGACAGTTCCAAGACTGGCAGCAAATTAAGTTGAATGTCTCAAATTCTTCCTGCCTCTGACCTTCAACTTCCTCCCCCTAGGCAGCCCTTATCTTGTCCTGCACCACACTTTTCATTCCTCAGCACACGTCACTAATCACTTAAGTGTATGCCTGCGGGAAAGGCCTCTGGTTTGCACAGCCTTGCTGCTGGCCCCCAGTTCGTGGCTGGCCACTTCCCATGCACGGCCTCCTGGAGTGCCGCCTGCTGAGCACCTCACCCTCACAGCTGCCACCAGCCCCACACAGAGAGGCGCTGGCTGTGCTGCCACTTGCTGCATGGGCTCAGTGCATGACATCCAGCCACCTAGGCCTGGCTGCTGTGCAGTTTGTCTCGGAGAATGCTTACTTGGGAACCCCCTTCACACCCGCTTCAGACAGCCTTGTTAGACCCAGATGGATGCTGAAGCCACCTGCCTTCTATTTGTCTTTTGTAATTCCGGGCATCTAGTGCTGCCAGCACTCTTGCCAGGCTGATGAGAGTGACTCAGAGGGGTCCACCGGTTGCTAATTAATATTCAGGGAGCATCTACTCTCCATGAGGTACTGTCTATGGCTCATCCATACACCATCCATTCAGCCTCTTGTTCTGGCTGCAAGTAGTTATTACTTTCTTCCAATTTAGAAATGTGGAAGGTGAGAGCCAATAGGCTTACTCCTTCGGGTATGGTCCCATGAAAGGAGAAAGCCAAAGCCAGATTGAGACTTGGACTCCACATTCAGGCACAGCAGGCAGCTCTTCCTACATTCACCCATCAAGGTGTCCAGATGGAGACATTCTAGTAAAGAGAAACATGTTCACAGGCGGCAGGGAAGGTTTGTGTTGTCTGCTTGAAAACCAAAATTCTGAAGCCTTCCATTCATCTACAGTGAACGATTCCTTTGATTTACCACCTTCTCTCTGTGACCACCATAAAATACCAAGTGCTGGCTGCTTGCAGCAAAAGTTTCTAAGAGATCTAAATCTACTTGTATGAGTATCTTTACTACAAGTGTCCTGAACAACGAAAATTGCTTTCCTAAGTGAAACTGGACTCCAGTGATTTGTTCTGAGTTGTTATAGTCATCCAGTTAGTGGTTTGCGTAATTTTTTCAAAGTTTCAAAAATGACCCGAGGAGATAATAAAATACCATCCTCTTTATTGAAGTCTGAGATTCCCTGAAGCTAAAGACAGCAGATTGTGGTGTTTGATTGCCCTAAATGAAAATGTTGGAAGATAAAGAATCCCCTTGGCTCTCACCTTCAAGGAGCAAACCATGCCCAGAAGCAAGGAGACGCAGTCAGCCTCATAGATTCTCCCCCTGCTAAACTCCACATCCGGCAAAAATTCATTCTTCTCCCTAACTACGTTAATGAAGAGAGCAATCAATATGAAAATGCCAGATTTACCCTAAAGGGATCTCGATTACTGAAGAGAAACTCCAAGCAGCTCAGCTCACAAACTTAAATGGTTGACCCCTCATCCTGTGTGTAGTGCCCCCCTGAGCCACTCATGCATCTTGATATTCAAAGTAAAAGCTTGTTCTAGCAAACCACATGGTACTCTGTTGGCCTGACACCAGGCCTGTGACGTCCACCTCCAGTCGGAAAGCCTTCCTTTTGGCTGGGATCCTCAGGTCTGCAGCACCCTCTAGTAAGACCATCAGCTCCCCACACATTTAAATACACTTGTGATTCCTCAAGTCCCCCACCTTCCTGAGTCACTGCCATGTTTTGCTTTGGTTACAAAATGTTCCATTTTTCTCCAAAGCTTACCATATTCTTGTGTGTGTCCAAGAGCCAAATAAACAGAATTCCTCATTAACCGCATTTCCCTTCCCATCACTGATGCAGGATATCCTGAGAAAATAGGTAAATGGGAAAAGTTTGCTTAATGTGCCTCCATTTTCTATTGGGAAAAGTCATGGGCATGGAAGGTTTTATTAGAACTGCTTAGAAAAATAAAAGCGTGATTAAGGCAGTATCTCCCAAATTCTAACTCCCTGCTGATTTTAGAATTTACAACCTCAGATTAGAGTCATAGATCGAGATAGGCAAATATTTAGCATCCATGATAATAAACTCATAATTAATAACAAGTACTGATGAGGTTTGAAATAACTGCTCTGGGGGGCTGGAGATTTAGCTCAGCAACATAAGCGCCTGCCTTGCAAGCAGGCGGTCGGTCATGAGTTCGATCCCTAGTACTAACAAAAATGAAAAAGACAAAAAAAAAAAAAAAAAGAAAGAACTGCTCTGGAAGGCTCAGGACGCACAGTGTATCAGGAACTTTACATGTATTGTCTCATACAATCTTTGTAATAACCCCATGAGATAGGTGTAATTATTTCCGTTTCTCAGATGTTAAAATGAATTACAGAAGCTCCATTGGTGATGTGCTAGGAACAGGACTGAACTCAAGTGGAACCACACAGCCCCACCACTCAGGGCTATGCCCATCTCTACCCTGCAGGATGGAATGACCAAATCAAGCCTGGCTGTGGATGTTGTCTCTCTGGAGCAGATAAACATGGCAAGGGTCCATCTCCAGCCCTAGCAAAGAACCTTCAGTTATAGGAAAAGCCAAAGGCCAGGCAACAACTAGCTTCACAGGCAGACACTGCAGACTTCTGCAAATGCCGACACGCATCCTGTTCTCTCCGCTCACCCCCTCTTGGGCTTTCCGAGTAACTAATTTCAACGTCTTTCTTCCTGATTAATCACAGCACATTTTTTCCCTTGGTAAAGTTATTGCTCCTATGTTATCCGAAAATTACACAAAATGAGGATTTAATCCATTTTTAAACAGTGTTTAGAACACCATATTCAAAAGGCAAGCTAAAAAAGAACTCAGATGAGTTATGTGCACGTCCCAACTCCCCACGATGGATGTAATCACACTCTGCAAGCCTGTACTAATAAAAACAAAAATTTTAAGCAATAAAGTAAATTAAAGATAACAAGAGTCTTGCCTACTAAAGATGATTGCTGCAGACTCAAAACAGTTTATAGACATTATCAGACTCACAATAAAAGTAGCATTAATCTTCCACGTTTTTCTCATGGAGAAACTAAAATAAGAATATTATGAACCACCTCTGACCCTGTTCAGAAGAGCTCTGTTACCTCCGTGCAGGAGCTGCTTGGGGAGGTCAGGTGAGGGAGATTGGCTGTGGTCTAGACCAGTTTTCAAACTGATGACTTCAAATATGCTTTAATATCTTCAGATAAAAGCATAGCCAGATGCTCCTGGCCCTCTTTGGCAAAAGAGGTCATTGGCTCTGTATTGATTTTATCTGCTTTTTTGATTTGGATTTTGTAAAAGTTCCTTTTGACAGAAGGATCAACTTCTAAAAACTAAAAAATCAGATAAAACTACAACTGGAGGTATTTAGTGCTACCTGTAAATACTACCTAGTAATAATGTATGACTATTCTAAAATCCAAAGTAGCCATGAAAGGTAAATTCTAAACTTCACTGTCCTAAGCATGGCATAGACATTAACTTATATGATAAGCTGCCATTTTGCCAAGGAGGCAACTGAAGCTCAAAGAGGTTTTGTAACTTGCCAAAAACCATCGAACTAGTAAGTGGTGAAACCAGGGTAAACCCAAGCAACCTAACTCTACATCTATGTTGTTATACTGCATCTCTAAGCCAAATGACAACCTCAGTTCAGTCTTAAATTCCCTGATAAAAATAGCTAAAATTAGCAAGCTTGTTAGTTATACTCTTGGCAAACTACAGAACAGACAAACACCAAAGCAACATGCTATATATACTAAAGAAGCTCACTGGCTTTTGTCTCTGGTTCTTGGAAGGAAGCCTCTAAATTCTTAGAATTTCCAGAGGGATAGGACTGACTTTGTTACTCATACTGTACCCTAGTTTATGCTCAAGAGAGACTCCTGGTTGTTCCCTAAATCATTTAAACAAATGAAATGACTCCACAGAGGGGCTGGTTATTTCTGAAAGACCAAGCATGTGATTCAGAGGGTTGAGGATTTGAATGTCTGAGGAAGGGCCCTAAAGACTGCTCAACCTTTTAGCCAAAAAGTCAATCAAGTACATGTAAGTAATAATCCCCAGTAAAACCCATGCACAAGAAACCTGGATGGGTGTCCTTATAGTCGGTATTAATCTGGGTGCATCATGATACCTCTAAAGCGTGGGAGAAGAATAAATCCTGATTCTCTGGAAGAAGGGACACCAGATGCTTTGTGTTTTAAGTGTCCTCACATCCTGTATATTTCCTGTTGGTTGGTTCTGAGTTATATCCTTTTTGCTCTAATCAAACTGTAATCCTAAGTACAGCATTTTCCTATTTCTGTGAATCATTGTAGTAATCCATTGACCTGAAAAACCACCAAAATGGAGATAAGTGAGCAAGTCCTTAGCATCCCAAGCCCAGGCTGGTGTCTGAAACAAGGTCACTCTCATGGAGGTCCAGAGCTATGACATCTGACTGGGTCTGGGTGGCCAGCGTCAGAAGCTGATCAAAGGAAAGAAACTCCCAATCTGCTAGATGTCTGATATGAGTTTGTGCTTTCTAAAATCAAAGAACAAATTCTAGGAACAATGGAGATTAAAAGCAGAATATATTTACTGGGGAAAGAAAGTGTCTGTCTGAAAGAGAAATAGAAGGGTTCCCCAATAGGTTGCTCAGGACCGCAGGGTTCTAGGGATTTTAGAGAGCAAAACCATCCAAAGTGGAGAAAAATGGGAAATCACTAGGTGGGAATGAGGTGGGACAAAACTGTGGGTAACAAAGCCACTGAAGAAGGCTCTGTGGAAAAACCTAAATCCATCTCTACCTGGCTGAGAGCCACTTTCAGGGTTCAGAGCTGGCCTTCGGATGACTTTCATGAATAATATAGTACTGCTCTAAAGAGTTTTTCTAGTTTGAGCTACAACAGAATACCAGAGAGGGAATGGCTGGTACACAACAGAAATTTACAGTTCATTGTTCTGGTAACTGGAAAGTCCAAGATGAAGATGCAGACTGAATGCAAGGCAGAAATATTTTCTTCAAAGTGGGAGCTTCCTTTATATATACATGTGGCCAGTGGGGCACAGAGAGGAAGCTCTGCGAACTGGCCCTGTGAGTTCTTCACCTTTGTACTTCACTCCTTTACAGTAGCATAATCTCAATTGTGTCTTCTCATTAAAACATTTTTTAAAAAAGAAAAATGAATGTAGCTACACCTGCCATTTCTTTGCACTATTCTTCAGACCTCCTGCTAACTACATGTCTGGACGTGGGCTCCAGAAACATTACATGTTTATGAAACTCAGAGGTGAAGTACAGAAGAGATTAGTCTGTGATTTAGTGTCAGATTGGAGTTAAGCAAAGGAAAGAGGAGAAAAAATCTCAGATCATAGGATTTATGTTACGCCTATAAAGAACCAAGCAGCAAATTTGGGAGGCTTCGGAGAGGAGCCAAAAAGCCCCATATATTATCTAAATCAAATCCTACATGTTGCAGGTAAGGATATCAAAGCCCAGAAAGGTTAAAGGGAAATGCCTTCTCTTAAATTAAAAGCTAGGGAATCTAAAGGCAGACTATTCTTGGAATATATTTTATTTTTAGAAATCAAACATATTAAAATTGTTCTTTCCAAAGCAGAAAACTCAAGCCATCAATGTGATATGTTACTCACAATGTGATATGTTACTCTCAAGACTTAATGAGGGCCTCTTCCAGGATCTAGGAAGAGGGGTCTGTGGTGGTGGATTGAAAACTGATGAGAACTTAAACACCAGCTAAACTGAATAGGCGGGGCTGAATGTAAATAGTCCACCTGAGGACTGTTGCCAGCATACAAAGAAGTGGCAAGGAAGACAGTAGCATTGTGGGGTCCCCTAAGTGAGTGCTGCTGTTTGGAGCTGCTGGTCCTCCTGGAGGAGCTTGTCCTGCTGGCTCCCCTGATATGAACTTGGCTGCTATCATCAGAGGAGTTTGGGGCCTTGTCCTTGAGAATGGCTGTGATTCACTTTGGGGGAGCTCTGGTCCTTTCTTTAAGCATTGCTTTCTGGCTCTGGAGGGGAAGATGTGAGCTGTTCAGTCTCCAGGAGAAGCTTGTCACAGCGGCTTCCTGATATGAACTCGGCCATTATCATCGGAGCTCAGGACCTGGTCGTTGCTGAGGATGGCTGTGGTACTTTTCAGGAGTCCCCCGTCCTTATTTTCAGTATTGCTTCTTGGCTCCAGTGCAGAACTTCCAACCTGCTGGCACAGGCCTTCACCCCACTGGCATAGACTTTCCAGCTTCTACCACTGCCTTTGGGCCTTCCCAGCCCAGATCTGTGAGACAGACATATGAGTGATTGTTGTGGGTTCTCAGCCTCTAGTTGGACTCATGGGAGGCATCGTCATGGACTCTAGGTTTTCAGCTGAACTTATGCAAACTATTGCCATGGGATCCAGGCCGTAAGCTGGCTTCCCTAGGTCTTTAGTATGTGGACAGATTTCCTGCACTTCATGTATTTAACTCTTGGGTGACTATTACAAAATAATACTATAGATTATATGTCCTGTATATGATTGTTCTCCTTGCAAACACTGACTACAACAGGGCTTCAGTTTTTATTGCTTTGGGAGCTATATTCTGTCTCAAAGAGTAAGTAGTTCTGCTTCTGAATCCTCTTCTTAGATTCACACAAAGTTTCTCAGTGACTTTTTTCTGAATGACTCTGTGCTTCAGTTATAAAATTGGATGACATACAACTCAGCTCATTTTGAGTAGCAGATGTATTTCTGAAAATTTCAATCATATTTTCATGCAGTAAGATACTTTACCATTTGAAGAAATCCTAATGTGAATTCTTTTATGAACCCAAAAATGAAAGTCCTTTGCT